ATAATCTGCGGAAGCGTCATCAATATGCCCACCATATATACCTAGGTTACAGCCTACAGGTACATGTGTAGGTACGGAGTACTGCGGAACTTGGAAGAAACGGCAGCGGGGCGAGGATAGCACGCGTCCTACCACTTCTTCTACTCTAGTCTTCAAGAATGCGTTTTACCATGGTGCAGTATTGAAGACACTCAAGGCACTCGGAACACTATTTCAACATCACGCTGCAAGAACCTATTCTCCCCAACGTTCACTTCGAATACGTCTCAAACGTTTTTAGGAAGCAAGCCGTCAAACTCAAACTTCAAAGGTCTTGACATAACCAATATGAAGTTCAGCAGCGTTCTTGGCGCATTTGCCCTCTCAACTCTGGAGGTATACCGTGCCTATGCGACTCCCTTCGACGCCATCTCTCCGGAAACTCAGCTATTGCAAGGAAGAGATGAAGAGACCTGTTGTGTGATTGTGTAAGTTGTGCCTTGCTCTTCTGTCACTTGTGTAAAATGGTGACAAACATGGCCGTTGCCTCAGCCTGAGTAGCTGTTGTCCATCTTGTCTACATTTTTGCTAAACACTTATAATGGCAGTGGCAAAAAAGGATACTCAGTCACCTATACCGGAGAATTTAGGGTCCTCGTTACCATACAGGGCCAGTGCAAGGTCTCCGTCAATCAAATCGGGTCACCAAGCTCAGGAGGCTGTGACATGTGGTCCGTGGTTCGCGAAGGGTGTCCCGGGCCCAATGATCCTGATGTCCAGGTCGTGCCTATGGACTATTGCAGCTAGGGAAAGGGGACAAAGGAGTGCGTAGCCATGCAGTGACATGCGCTGAACCACTTGGTGACTTAGACCGGTCTATTGAGCTGTTTGGAGAAACATACGATGATCCATGGGTGGAAAGAACGTCTGACACCTTGGGCCCAGGGCGAGTCGCGAGCGCTGTAACATTTAACCGCTTATTGCGTGGGAGCACCAGTGCTTTTGATGGCGGAACGTTGAGATTTGCGAAGAGCCCAAGTTTCCATGTCATGTCGCGTAATGGTCATCTATACACGCAGATACTTATGATGCCTTGGCATATGTTCCTTGTGAGATATACTCGAGGATATGCGTCTGGCCAATGTCATTTTCGCGATTCTCTCTTCAGGCGTACGTAGTTGATATCACAAGTGGAAGACCGCCCTCGTCCATAAGGTGAGATGCCTCGATCTTTTCGAGTGAACCCCCTTTTGTCCCTGTACACACACAAGGCTCGCCGCTAGAGGGAGTTCTCGTCAGTTGCAATATATGCGGCTTAATTGTCTGCTGAGAAGGCCAAGCAGACGCGACTCCTCGCGCGGGGCGTCAATGCAGCTTTGATCTGGTTTGAATGGTTGTGATCTCTTGCCATCCCTGCTCAAACGTAATGAATGGGTGGTACATGGACATGGTTTGTTTTCCTTTTTTTTTCCTGGACACACTGTACGGACACTGTTGAAGGAATCCTTGGTAGATGTAAAATGATACATCACGCGAGGGTACCTGCAAGGACTTCATCGCCGGGGCTGACTTGGGCTTGGTTGCGAGGAACATAGAAATAAACACTCTCAACGAAGGCCTCATGGAGTGTGCTTATAAAACTGTTGGACAACAAACGTGAGTCTCTTGAATGGCTACTGTTTTTATCCTCCACGTAGGCGACACTCTCACTGCGCAATACTCTCCCTCAAACCCTTGGTCCTCAGCGTAAAGCCCCCTTCCTCCCCAAATGGCAGACCGATACCACTGTCCTTACCCCATTCGTCATCCATCTTCATCATGGCACTCCTCAATGCGTCTCCATGCCGATTCATCATCTCGCTGTCCACGCTGGCCTGCCGACTCCCTGCGATACTGCCACTACTGCTGCCGCTCTCGCCATCGGCATCCAAGGCAAAGGGTAAAGCAGGCACGGCGCCAGCTGTCCCGCTCCAGCTTCCTCGTGCGTGGCCATTGAATTTTTTCCCGTCCCACAGACCCCGTACGCCGCCCTTTTTGCGCTCGGGCATCTCCTCTGTGCCGGCGCTGCACACATACAAGAGGTACTTAAGATTCGGGAGGGAGTGGCGAATATCGACGACCTTGAGGCCCTCGGATGCGCAGAGAGCTTCAATATTCTTATTGAGGAGGAACCAGCCGTATTCGAAGCGCCATTGGCCAATTGTCGAGCCACCACGCGGTAGGTAGAGAGGGAATTCACGACGCTGCCGTTGCCGCTGCCGCTGAGACTGCCGCTGGGACTGGGTGTCTGGCATGTGAGATATGTTGTCGCGAGCGTAGGACCGGGAGCCGTAGACGGACAAGGGATACGGAAGAGGCGAGGAGAGATAGAATGACAGGTGGCGGGTGAGCAATGCAACGAGGCCCAGGGCCCCCGAGAGGACATCTTCGCCAATCACTTTGGCAGTGGCGGCATCGTAGACGGAATTCGGCAGAGGTAAGCCGCATATTTGAAAAGATAGTGGCGGTGCGTTGGGGATGGGTGTAATGGGAAACATGTCACATAGTTCGGAGCAAATGCGCCGTCTCTGGCCGTGAATTTGCTGCTCCGTTTGCTGCACCAGCTCGACAGACGCAGCTAACTTCTCGCTGTTGTTTTGGATGTCCGCCTCTGCTAGAGCCTGAACCCGTCTACCCTGAGCGATGGCCTCACGCCTACTTCGGAGAGATTTCCGCAGGTCAATACGCTTTGTCTCCGCTGCCATGTTCGCCCGACGCTGCATTGAGACATATTTCATTGCCAAGGCAGTCGCTTCGTTGGCAGCAGGATTCGGATCGGCCGGTGACTGGTCCAGTATCTCATTGATCTGCTGCATTATTTTGCGCTGCGTCTCCATGGCGTCCTGAACGGAGCTCTCGAGGTTGGCGAGCTTCATGAGGGCAGTGTACGAAGAGGTGGCGACCAGGGGCGCTGCCTTTGGGTCGGCAGTCCTTGTTGGGAAGTCCATGGAGTACAAGCCATCTTGCAGGTGAAAAACAAGAGCATTGGGCGGAAAACGACGATCAGTCAGCGTGCCAATGAAGTTGAGTCGTCGAAGGTCGATAATTTCTTCCAGTAGAAAGGTCCATGATGCTCGCTGGGGACGTTTACACCAGACGCGAATGGTGAGAATGCATGCTCTTGAAATGCAGGTTTCCCGAGAAGAGAGATGGAAGAACTGAAAATCAAAGTTCTGGAGATCTAAATTAGTGTTTCGATTGGCACCGAGGAGAAAAAAGCCGCGACAAGGACAGGATAGTATGACGCACTGCGGATCGGTTGCGGACTTCGCTGATGTAGACGGGCTCGTCGCAGTCTGCCACATGCAACGAGAAAAAGACATCGCCTATAGAGCTATCGACGAGGGATTCTAAATCTTTCTGCCGTGTTACGGGATTCGCATGGGCCACGCTCAAGCTGCTTCGTCGGGGCTGGGCTCTCGGCCTCCTCTTGTCAGCGCGGAGGCTGTCCAGGCGCAAGCTCTCCGAAGACCGCGAGGCGCGAAGCGGCGACGAACCTGTTTCGTCGAGGTTGCCGAGCTTATTAGGGCTTCTTTTGATAGCGGCGTCATCTGATATGTACGCATTGCCAGGGCCGCGGGGCGCGAAGGACAGATTGCGTAGAGAGAGCCCCTTTAGATGGCGAAGCTTACGGTTCTGAGGAAGCAGACGAGGTCGGCGGGGCTCAGAGAGCGTGGGCATGATGTGCGCATGCTGGCCCGCGAGTGACGTGACGATCAAAGCCGGAATATACGGACGTCAATGGTCAGCGCGTCACGAATGAAGTCGTCTCAAAAGCATGGATCGTTTTGCTATCGGCGTTGTCGAAGCTAGTGCTCGTTGTCGTGACTGCGCCTCCGCCAAGATGAAGTTGCAACTTCGACGTTGGCGCCGCTGGGGGATGAGGTATGTACTTGCGGGGACAGAGTGGAGCAGGTTTGTCGTCAGACTCGTCATGAAGCCTGGAAGGGCAGTTATTAACGGCAGTTGCCACTGGCCAGTACAGTCTGTCTACCTACCTCTACAGTGTCAACTGTCATGATAAAGCAATGCATCGTTCTTTCCTACTTTGGGTCAGCAACGTATATTACTCCAGCGCCTGGGCTGAACACCTCTTTTGGACTGTGATTGAAGCTACATACTTCCTATCGACTGAAGCACTTTAACAAACGTGAAGAATTAAGCACACTGTGCGTCGCGCGCACCAATGTCGCGAGCCTCCGGTCGACCGATCACGATGAGGCTGAGCCAACGTGCACCATCATCATCATTCTTCAATCTTGTGAATGATGTACCCGCGCTGGCCAGCCTGAACAAGGCATTGGAAGATCCAGGAACAAATATCAAGGCCAGACAGAGTACACAGGTTGGTCATGGTGAGCCACCATCATGCTGTGTGGCCTTTTCTAAACCTCTTTGCTTACAGCGGAACGAATCAGACACGGGTAGATTCTCGAGCTGAGCGACAAAGGGACTTCTCCGACACTATACCGCAGTCAGCAAACGTATGTAACCCTCAAAATACGACGCCTCATTGGACAATTAAGATAATTGAACGAAATGGGTTTCCAAAAGAAGCAAAGACTCCCGTAGCCATGAGGTAGTTTCACCGCAAGCGAACGCATCAACTGCGCATTGTGTGTCTGCCCGGTTATTACCACCGCGCGACTGGAGACAACTCAGAGAGTTTGGCTCACGCACTATGACGACAGCTGGCACCATCGCCCTGAAGGCTGATGAAAGGTCATCCATTCTTCGGATGTTTGGTGATGGGCATACGTATCTGGAAGCTCACGGCTTCCGCGCGTATGTTTGAGCAAGAGGGCATTGTTCCAGGTACCTGCGAGTCGCGACCGCGTCGCGGGAGAAGGGGTGAAGCAGGCTTTTGCGGACCATCGCCGGTGAGGTTCAGAATTCAACTTGCACGGACAAAGACGAGTCACGGACTCAACTTCATTATTAACAAGAAATAAGATGGTTCTGTACATCAAGCGGTAACTTGAGGCACTTTGGCCGAGTGGTCTAAGGCGCCGTGTTCAGGCTAAGATTTGCGCTCGCAGCAGATCTTCCTATTCGCGGTCTAGTAATAGGCGAGGGTTCGAATCCCTCAGGTGTCATTTTTTTCCATTTTGCCGCCATTGTTGCAGACAAGTCACAAGGGAGACTGCGGCTATCGCTTTCAAGTTTGCATTCTTTCGCTATTATTCACCGTGTGTGACTTCCTTTGCTCTTTTTGCCCCCGAATCTCCTCTCCACCCCAATTTGTTGGAAGACTCAAAGAGACAACTCAAAATTGGCGGCGTTTAATTATTATCCACCAAATACATAACCGTTTGTAGTGCTCGCTCCCCTCTACGCCTCATCGCAAGTCGTTCTGCGACCAGCACGAAGCTGCACGATAACCTCAACGTACTGTCTCACTTCTCCATGTCTCATCTTCCAGTCGCTCGGGTACCGGGCATCGGGTCGGTCGGGAGAGGGCCAGTGGCGTTCGGCGCTGTGCGAACGGAGAGTCTTCATCGGGCGCCCTGCCAATTATGCATCGCGAGCGTTCAAGCAACGTGATGTTCCAATCATTCTCTTGGTATTGGTGCTCACTGCATCGGCCGTTCAGATCCGCAGCAGGACTTGTATAGATCGACAAGCTCTGGACCACATCAAGGCCAGCGAGAGTCAACGAATACTCCGTAGGAACAGGTATGTAGACGGGACTTCAGCGGATTATTCCCGTGCACCTCCAGGACTATTCTTATAGTCGTTCGGATCACATCGAGACAGTCCTTTCACGTCCTCAGAAGCCGGTGCAGGAGCACAACGCTCGGTCAGTCCGCTCACTAAGCCAGAATTGGCGTGTGACAAAACTACAAATATGTACCGTTTGTTCACATGCTGTGCGAGAGGGAAAGAGCTACGAGGTCGGTTCTCAAGAATGGAAAGGAGGGGGAGTGTCGAACACCTCACGACTGGTACAGAATTCCTTGATTCCTCGTTGGGCATGCAGTGGACAATGGACACACGATCTTCCTCCAGAGACCAACTGAAAGCCTTGTCTCTGCCGGAATGCTCTCTTTGTGTCTTTCTGCCTTCTTCGAGGGGCTCTCTCACTTAGTATGACACTTGGTGACGGGAAACGTTCCCCCGCAAACTGAAAGGCAAAATTCTTGCCTCTATTTCCACATTTCTGGCCAAGGCTCCCCGCAAAGCTCGGGGGCAATAATTGGCCGTGGCAAACTCGACAGAACTACCTACTGACTTAGCAGGTGAATTATACCCCGGGATAGTTCATCTATACTACATACGGTCGCATTCTTGGTATCCGTGAGAAGGGCGCAAGCAGAAGCTGGACAGATGCCCAGATGCCAGTTGTCACACAACTCTCACTCCGACGCCAGGGCTGACTGACTTATCAAGCCAAAAGCAAAATGTATCTTGTCTTTCTCCACGAACGCTCGTATATGTATGGCTCAGTTGTGCCGTATTTGCACCATGTCACTCATCTTGTGGCATCCTCACGCTGTTTTGTTTCTTGTTTACCTCTTCTCAGATCCCTGTCATGGGCTGTGCCCTTTTCTCGCGTCCTGGCTTCAGTGTGCATACAGCCGAGCATCTAGCGCAACACAGTGGCCACTGGCCAGATCAAGATTCGGAGACTGGACGATGACGAGCCCAACTTGTCATTTAAGTCGGGGAGAGGGAGGGCGAGCAAAGGAAATGGGTCTAAACCCGGATGTACGACTTGGCGACGTGCCGTTACCGACACACCCGAGTATCGGCACCTCGCTCGTCGCCACGGCATTTTCACGGGCTACTGTGTTACCAGGTGTTCTCTACTATATATGCCGTTACTCCGAGTCTTTTAATGACAAGGAACCGCACGAGTGAGGAACGATGAAAGAGTGGGACGCAGACACAGTATTGGTACGTGATGAACCTATGAGCGTATGAATATGACGATTCTTGCACGTCGTACCAGCTTTCCAGACTCCAGTCACCACCCTATGATAAACCTTACCCTCAGTACGCCACTACAGAATGGACACAGCACTCGAGCTAGGGCTTCTGTGGGCATGTCTACGTACACCTCGTACGCTGCAGGCATCATCTTGAATGAAGTCCACCGGTTTCTCTCCCCGCAGAGCCTTCCACCAGCGGGCTGCGGAGCAGAACGGGCAAGTCCGCCAGGCCTCCAAAGGAATATGGGCTCAGACCTTCCGGTACCACTAAGTAACCAATTGTTACACATTGGAAGTTGAAATATACGGCACGATCTCTGGAGAATTACACACAGTCATTCGTGGCCTTTTAGCGCCACCAGCACCACCTGACGCTATAGGAGACTTCTCTCATCCACATGGATTACCTTTTCCTACAGAGTAACGTACCATACGAATATGTCCTCCGCACACAATGTGGCGTCGTGCCAAGCTCTTGCCATTGGACTAATCCTCAGCCTTGAGGTCCCCTTCCCCCCTTTGTTCGAACTTCGTACGCCCTTCCCTTCCCCACACGCCATGCATCGCTGATCGGGGGAGATCCCGCGGCCGTCGATGCAGCAAAGAAAGCTTGAATAAGGTCGTTGGAAGGAGCTAGTCTGCGCTACCCCACGGCTTTTGTAAGGGTTCTCCAGCAGCCAAAATCGGACGATTGATACATGCGGGATCGAAAGCTACTTCTGCACGAGAACACGAGGGACACAGCTGAAGATGCGCGCTATGTTTTTGAGCCCGTCTGTGTGACCCTGACTTTGGTCGTTATTGGGAAGGCAAGAAGTCTCTTTTAAGTCACGTACGTCGGATCAGGTGATATCACAGTATGTGGTTGTCTTTTGGGCCGGAGCAATGAGAGCAGCAAGACTACGAGGCGTAGCAAGACACGGCTTACACGCAAGACACGGCGTGTAAGTCATGTCCAACGAGGGGGTAACCTACTGTACCTCACCCTTAATAGTGACTGATTCTCGTGATGTCTGAGGGTTTTGCTGCTTCCGTAAGTGTTCAGTGACCTGCAATCATTCCAGTAATCGGGCTCGTCTCGGACGAAGACTGAAGTCTGTATAGAACTGATTCTGTCGATGAAGGAATCCGGATTGCGAAGTCGGAAGATCATCTCAATGGCCTGCTACTGCTACCAGTGATGGAAGGCCTTAGACAGAATGGGGTGGTAAGAAGGCATATGGAGGGTTGTCTCGGAGAGAGTGAGTTTCTTCTTGCGGACGCCAAGACAATATGCTGCCCCTGGTAAGCTGCCTTGGTGATTCGAGAGAAGGAGGGATTAACACAAGTATGACGAGCATGGTGATCCGTCTGGGCATGTGGCATGTGGCATGCGAAAGCGAATTTGGTCCGGCGCGTCATGTAGGACGACCAGATGACAGTATCTCAGCAGGTATCATGGATGTTCGTCAAACACGACCTCGACTGAAAGGAGGATTCGTATTGTGAGATTTCCAAATTCTCCAAGGAGGTACTCTCGAATATAAAAGGCCTCAGTAGTCCCTCGTATCTCAACGATCTTCTCTTCTCTCCATCCGACCAAGCCATCTCTTGTCCTCTTCTTCGACCTTACTTCGTCTTCTGTAATCAGCATCATCCCTCTTTACTTCGATTCAACCTCCCCAATCCCGTCATCATGAAGTACACCGCCGCCATCGTTGCTCTCGCAGCCACCGTCATTGCCATTCCCACCGGAGGCGGCGACAACTCTTACAGCTGCAACAACGACCACCCCAACTACGTTTGTTGCCAGGGCGGCCTCCTTGGAGGAATCCTCTGCAACCTCAACCTTCTTGGTAACAACTGCGGTGGAGGCAGTTACTGCTGCAAGTCTGCTCCTCAGGTACGTTGCCCATTCTCATGATGCGCGTCCATCGCGGAGTCCTTCCTTTACTGATATGTATTCTTCGCGTCTGTACAGACCGGCCTGATCAACATTGGCCTTGAGTGCATCAAGCTGCTCTAATTGCCCCTTTTCCTTCGCCACCCTATTAACCGCCAACATCGCCTTTAAAACACACAATGTTGGAAGAATCCTTGCCCAACGCTTGGCACATTCACACGGGGCCCTCTCTCCGCTCTCCATCCACATACTACTGCCGGTGCGGCACGGCAGCTAGATAATACAGGGAAAGGACTGGAAGAGGAGAAGATGATGGCTCATGGACGCATTGTGTGAATGAGCAGCTTTTCGCCATCTTGGAATCGATCAGGATGCGTCAAGAGCTGGGTTTTCGGATGGGGTGGCTGGACGAAGCAGGTCTGTTTGCATACAAGAGATTCAAGGGGATGTAGCTACTTATTAGTAGCATGCGTAGATGGACGCTTGTACTTGGTCGGATGCTTCTTTCCCTTTCAATTTTTTCGTGTTTCCTGCAGAGGAATTGCCTCACACAAGCAGAGTATTTTTGAGCTGTCAATATACCGTCCTAGTGCTCTGATACCATGATGTCTACGCGCGCCTTGCATCCCGTAGGTACGGTTTGATACGCATACTCCGTACTATGTATAGACATGTGTGTCTACGGGTTACGGGATACAAAAGAAGTATGTAAAAAGATGCAGCTTCTCCATTTATGACTTGTTCTCTCTTCTCCACAGCCATTAGGATACATGTCTGGCAGACTGGGTCTATGAGACAATACACAATGCCAAGTCTCAAAACCAGCAGCTCGTAGCAGCAAACATCAGACGGTGCCCCAGACAATGAAGCGTGAGTCCTCAGTTCGCATCAGAATCAACCCGTGCAAGTAAACTACAAACTCCCTTTCCCGCATCACTAGCTTTATATTATGTACACGGACCGCATGTCAAACCGTCGCCGAAAATGAACAACAGAAACATAAATGCTCATTGAAATAAAGAACGGCTTCGTGCTATGTATAGTGCCCCATAAGAAAGACATCTACAACGAAAATGCCCAAGGAAAAAGCAAAAACGCACAAAACGCCACCAGAATGCTCATGAAGTCTAGAGTCTATAAATCCTTATTCTTGTCTTTCGGCGTCCAGCTGTATTGGACCACACCAGGCCCAGGCTGCAACCCAAGAAAGTATAACCACAAGCGATGTGCTTCGTTGATGGAAATGCGATATCTGGACAAGTCAGTTAGACGGATTCGAAGA